CGGGAAGGATTGCATGGGGAAAAGAGAATTCTCACCCGTCCTCTTCTAGAGACAATTTTACAGGAGTGAGACAGTATTTTCTTCTCTCATTCTCATTTGCAGACTCTTGAGTTTATTTTCATAAAGGAAACCATCACAGGGTGTAATCTTTTTAAAACTTAAGAGTTACGTTGTAATTTACTGTTGAATCTTTTTTTTTTTTTGGTCTTAGTTTTCAAAATGACGTCTGAGTTAATTTTACTATATTTTATTCCTTTATACATAAATCAAAGTGTTGTTTTTGATTCATATTATCAAATACTTCATGCTTAAGTCTTTTTTTGTTGATATTAAAAAAAGTGCAGTATATATTTTAAACTTTCAGAGTTAATTCGAACAAGAATCCACCGTGTTTTGCGTTCAGTGTTCGATTCACTGCTGTTCACTTTGGGTTGAGTTTGTCCACAGGTTGTTTTTTTTCATTCACATAAAGCACTGACAGCCAACTGTCTTCACAGTTTCAGACGGTTTGTGAATTTGGAATGAAGCATTTCTGTCTGGGTGAAAGTATATATTCTGAAACATTGGAGCATCAGACGTTTGATCTCCTAGCTGCTATGGTTATTTATTATATATCTTTTTTTAAATAGTTAAACTTACGTAACATTTAGGAGGATCTATTGTCAGAAATGTAATTTATTATTCATACATGTGTTTTTATTGGTGTATAATCAGCTGAAAATCAGAATCATTGTGTCTTTGTTGCCTTAGAATGAGCTGCTTTTGATCTACACTTGTAATCTGCAGCTTCACCACTAAATCCCACACACTGGAGCTTTTTAGAAGACCTTTGAAGGACCAGTGTGTAGCTGCAGATCGGAACCATTTAAATACAGCTCAGCCTTCCAAGCATGTAGGAGAAACTACGGTGGCCACGAGAGGCCCTTTTTAGAGCCAGTATTTGGTTTGTCCATTCTGGGCTACTGTAGAAACAGGCCAGCCTCCGTAGATAAAACCAACATAACAAACAACAGTTGTTATATTGAGGTGATTATACACTAATGTAAACATACCTATGAATATTATATTCCATTTCTGTCAGATCCTCCTCAGTGTTAGACACTGGACCTTTGAATCCAGGGAGCGCACAGCCGCAGAGAGAAATACCTCCAGCTTGGTCGCAGTGCAGAGGAATTGGGAGATTTTAAATTGAGCGTTAAACCCAAACGGTGAATAAAAAAATAATCGGATACACATGAAGTGTCATTTAAAGTAGAATAAGTCTGGATACGGACGTCAGACAGAACATGCTAAGCCCCAGCTCACAAAACAATGATACTGTTTTGACTATGCATCTCCATTTTACAACCTTTAAAGAAGAAGATTCACTTTGAGTGTCGCTGGTTGAATCTGAAGTCTGCCTCGATGTACCTCAGCTCTGAGAGAAACAAGGCGTTTTAACGCTGCCTTTAGTTCACTTAACAGTTTATAACCTTTTATTTTGAAGGCTGACATCTTCAGTTTACATTGTAATCTGTTCAGTTTAATCCAATGAAAAATATTCCTGACATTCGAGGTGTAAACCGAATCATGATGGTTGTGCCTATGACTGATAATGATGAGGAGCCCTTTAAATATTTCTCTGTTTAGCTGACATTAAATTCCAGGACCAGGTAGCATGCAAGTGAATACAACTAAACCGTGTAGTGTGAACCTCTGATCAAGACAAACCGACGTGATTTGACCCACAGTACCCTCACCTCCCTGTTCCCGGCAGACTTTACATTCAACAGGTTATTGAGCGGTAGATGAGGTGTGGAATCTGGTTTGTAACCTTCTTTGATAGATCAGAGTGTCATATTTTTCCTAGCGTGGCCATGCCCGTGTGTGTCCCACCCTCCAGAAACTCTCCAACAAGTAACAACCACGTGGACCGAAAGGATGAAACATTCAACTATTTATTTGTAGGCTACAAAAAAGAAACTTATTCAGTATGTTAATAAAGATTGAAAACCTCAGCCGTGTTCTGGTCACTGACTCCAGCACACACACACACAGACAGCCTTAAGAACCTGTTTTTGCTGTTTCAAGACTTCATGATGTTCATCCGCTGGTATTTTACAATAGCTCAGTGTGTGCGTGTGCATGAACAACGTCCAGAACTGAGTCATGGACTGGGAATTCAGCGCCTGCTGGTGCGAACAACGTGTTGAGAGACTTGTCACTCAACTTTAATGTGCTTCTCAGTCATCGCTCCTTCGTTTTGAGTCCTCTTGAAACATTTCTGCCCTGCAGCGACCTGCTGACGCCTGTTCGCCATAAACAGCGGCCACCTGTCGCTGCAGCGTATCTTGATGAGAACAATGAAACCATAAAGATAACAGTGCTCACAACATTCTTCCATATATCACAAACTGTACAGACAGCCTCCGACATGAGGCAGATTGTTTTTTCTTTAGCAGTGTTTTAGAGCGTCAGAAACAAAGTCATAAAACCTGAAGGAAAAAAAAGAGAAAAATCCGTTGATTACTGAATATAATGTGATAATCATGTCATTTTGTTAAGAAGGTTGTCACTGTCAGTCAGAGGTGGTAATCACTTCCACATCAATTTATCAGATTTTTGGGGAGTTAATGGCAAGTGTCTGTTCCTGTGGGCTCCACAGTTTGGTCCTCGCCGTTGCCCTTGTTGACTTGCAGTAATGTCACAGATGGGAGCGCGTCCAGCAGCTTTTAACCCCAGTTGTAGAAGTAGATCTTCTGCCAGGTGGGGAGGTAATCCATCAGAGGGCCTGAACAGACAACAGGGTCAGAACAAGCACCGTTCTGAACTCATCATACGAGAGAGGGACAGTAGATTGGAAAACCCTGAACTGTGCATTCATATTATTCATAAAATGCAATTACGGTCTTAATAAGTTGCTACGAGTTCTATTTGGGCCATCATTATATAACTTTGGCAACAAGTGGCGATAGAGAATCTGGGTTCTGATCTCTGAATCGATAAAGCCTTCTTCCAAATTACACTGACATTTGTGATGACACAAATGAGTAAAAAAAGTGGTTAATATAGAAATAAATATTGGTCCATACAGAAATATTTAAAAAACTACTGGATGGATTGCCATTAAGACATTTGTGGCCCCCAGAAGATAAATCCTGCTGACTTTGGTGATTTTATTTAACTGAATTCACTTTAAAGTGTCACTTTAACCCATTTGTGTCCAAACACTTTATTTAGTGTGATGTGTTTGGTCTAAAGTGAGCGGTGCTGAATAGAAAAGAGGTGACATCACGTACTACGTGCATTTAAATCAAAACCTAATGACAGTTGTGGGGTTGTTACTTATGTCAGCAACATCAATCAAATGTGATCTGCACCCACACCCACAGTCCTGATGGAGCACACGCTCAGGGGGTTAAACCCTCTCAACTTATATTTATTGATATATATATTTCATAAGTCATGAATATTTAATGTGCTGTAGAAATACTTTCAGGGGCTCGTGTTTGGAGGCGAGCGTCATGGAGCAGACCTGACTGCAGTACTTACGCGCCACAAGGCCAATTCCTGGAACATGATCGGCCAGAAGTCTGAGCAGGAAGAGAATCTTTTCCCTGCAGACGAGGAAACACACTTAACTGTTAAAACACAATTTAAGTTCCAACAAATATTTCAAACTGCATTCATTCTTTCAAAACTGGTATTTTTCATAAAGGGCTGAAACGATTGATCGATCAGTTGGTCCCCAACAACGATTGAACTCTCTCTGGTTCGACTTCTGAAATGTAAAGATTTGCTGCTTTTCTGTGTTTTATGTAATTGTAAATTAAACTTTTTGGGGGGTTTTGGATTGTTAATTGGACGTAATATACAAACTGAAGACGTCACCGGGGCCTGTGGGAACTGTGACAGACATTTACCCACAATGCTCTGTCATTTTATGAACTAAATAATGATTCGGTTCATTGAAAATATTAATAAATTAACTCTTAATAAGATACTTACCCTGAGTATTTGTCATAGAAGGGTGACCGCAGAAGGTAGTACAGCAGAAGAAATGTTCTCCTCCTCATCTCGTTCCTCTCCCATCGATTTTGAAACTTTTTATCGCTGAGCACAGCGAAACTAAAGGAAGGAGGACAAATAACTGGAATAACTTCTCAAACTGTAATTTGGTTAGAGGCACAACGAAGAATGAGAGCATGACAGGATGCTTATCTGAGCTCTATGTTTTTATAACGCAGCGTTCACCTGTCGAGTCTGACAGACATCTTAAAAGATCCTGAATGGCTCAGAAGAGCTGAATTTTTCCCTCAAGACAAAGCAGACAGCCTGTGATCTGCATCTGTTCTAACTTTGGAAGAGTGTTTTCCTTTAAAGATACCTTCATATATATCTTTGTAAAATAATAACTAGCATTGTAAAGATGAATAGCAGAGATGGTGTTTTTAAAATGTAATGATTTCTGATTGGACCAACGGGAACAGAGCTTGGATACCTGGAGAGTTCGAGGACTCCGGAGACGAGCCACGGCTTCCAGGACTGTTTCCCACAGAGTCCGAGGCAGAGCACTGCAGCCAGGAAGGCTTCTTTAAGGAAAAACTGTCCAATAAAAAGGTCTCCAGCTAAAACATACTGAACTACATTTGTATTTAAAAGACACAGAGTTAAAGTGTTTGACTACAGGTCAATTTGTTTGTTTTACATGGTCGATTTAAATGTGCTCATACAGCACGGGGGTGGGTTGGGGGGGGGGGTTATATTTATAGATATCAGGCCTTCCCTGCAGAGTGACACAGCTACAGCTTGCAACAGTTTGCCATCTAGAGGTTGACGCAATTAATGAAAGACAACTTCCCAATCCTCAATCAGCGCAGGTCAACAAACACTGCAGTGGAACAGCAGTCTGGCAATCAAAACAACAATAATAGTTTATACATAGTTTAACATATAACTATATTTCTACAGAACTAATCAACAGGGATATATAAGGATACAGTGCACGAGCGGCCGTCCGATGTACACCGACTCTGCGACGGTCTCCTGAAGGCTCATCTGTGTCGGCTTGCTGTGGAGCTTCTCCCCACTTAAGCTGCTCCTCCTCTTCCTCTGACTCGGTGCTCCCCACTGCCGGGCTTGCAGGGAGGGGGCTGAAACACCACAGAGACAACAAACAGGTGGACACGTGAAAGTTCAGTAAATCCTCCAGTGAAAGTCACCTAGTGCAGGGTGTTAAAGGTCAACCGTGGTGCGAAACAGCTGGTACTGGTTATTAAACGTTCATGTAGGAACTATTTTCTTTCTACGTATCACTGCGCAGAAGGAAGCGTGCATCTACTCTGTGTATCTCCTCCTCGGCTGAGCTGTAACCAACTAACGTTCAGCTACAGTTGGAGTGTGTAGTTCGGGAGGAAGAAAATAGTTCCTACATGAAACTGCTCTCAACAAGGTCTATGGAACCAGATGTGAGGGCCATCTGGTTCCATTATACTGGAGAGGAGGCAGACATCTCTACAGCCGGTATCTCCAAATCCCTTTAAGTTACCGTCCGAGTGAAAGAAAGGATACAGGATAATCTCAGTCACAGTGACATTTAGGAATCTGATACAGGAGTAATTTGTTGTATTTTGAGTGAGCGACGACTTCAGGTGAACTTGAAACCGAAGTGCTGAGCCTCCAGAGCAGCGTGTGCAACCCGGCTGTCAGCTGGCATTAACACAGTCTCTCCTGTTTCTGGTAAACAGGCTTTTGTTTGAAACCGAATATCCACACCAACGCTCAGTCGCACGGATGCTTAAGAAGCTCCAATTCTTACGCTTTGTGAAACTTCAAAGGGATATTCAATTTCAAACAACTACAGCGATAAAAAGAAGAGAGTGAAGTTGCCTCACCGCTGCCCAGAGGCCTGATGGACCGCCCTGACCTCTGGCCCACGAAGCAGGCGTCGTCTTGCTGCTCCCCGTCAGCGTCATCTGTGGAGGAGACGCAGGAAACTCATTGTACATACAAAAACAGCATTTGCTTGTGAAGTTTAAAGCGGCATCATTTGGGGTTTGTTTGGCCAAACAGTTCAACTCTACATATGTGTGAATTAAAACTGTTTGTTGTGTAAAGATAAAGTGGCAGAGAATGTCATCAGAGAGAGACGTCGGTGGATTAACAGTGGACAGACAGCATGTAAACACTCTAACAGTGACAATGCCAACATGCTGATGTGTGAAATGTTTTAATGGTGGACACAGTCCTTATAAAACAGACAAAAACTCTCTCAGTAAAAGATCAGGCAGGAGAGCGATAACAGCCAGTGATAAGAGAAGAGAACGGACCTTCACTGACAAAATCTGCTCCTCTGTCCAGAGGGTTTATGGGAGGTGAAGTCTGGATGCCAGATTTGTACCACAAAAGAAGCACGATACGAAATATCGCCCTGAGAGAGAGAGACAGGAGAGGGATTAAATGATTCATACTACCTTTTTTACAGATTACAGATACAACATCTGGAGTTTCTATTAAACATTACCTTCTAATATTTGAAACAAAAGAAGTTTTACCAATAAATGATGTCACAAACAAAGCACACACTGCCTTCTGTGTATTTAGCTTCGTCAATGCTTATACATTACATGGCCAAAAGTATGTGGACACTGCATGCTGCTCCAACAGCCTCGAGTCTTTCAGCGTTTATAATCTGACTGCGGGGTTTTTCTCCCATTCAGACAGAAGAGCATTAATGAGGTCCAACCCTGATGGTGGCTGATAAAGTCTGACCATATATGGCCATATATTATTCACTTCATTGGCTATTTTAAAGCAGCTACCAGGAACATCCATTGTGGGTTGATTGTGGCGGCCCTGTGGACAAAAGCAGTAGTGTTCCTACGGCCTTGTTTCATTGAATTTAAGGGGAATCCGACCTAATCGGACAATAGGAATAACTACACAGAAACAGCCACGCTTCTCAGTGGTCTTTGTTTCTGTAGGTCATATAAAGGATCAGTATTAAACTGAGCCGGTTAAAAACAGCTTGTAGTACGTTTAAAATGCAAACAAGGGAAATATTCTGCTTCCGGTCACAGGAAAGGGAAACCGTACTTAAAGATCTGAATGAGTCCGATCACCAGCCAGCGGCCGACGTCGCCCCACAGCTTGCAGGCCCCCATCTCCAGGAACACCTCCACATACTCCAACACAGACAGCCAGGTCAGGAGCCTCTGCTGGGAGAGAGACTGGACACACCCAGAGACGACGTTTGTTGAGCCACAGAGAAAACAAATGAGTATTACTGATGGATTCTGACCTCAGAGTATTAATAAAATCCTAACGATACTCATCCCCAGGTGACAACAATTATCTTTTAAAAAAAGCTCGCAAACTGGAAAACAAAGATGCAACTCTTTTTGTATATTCAGTATTAGTCTGTCATCATTTCTCTTATTTTTCTTCCTGTATTACACAGATTGAGACTGGTATGTGTCACCCAGGCCAACCTCAGTGCAGCGGCCTGTATCAGAAGCATTTATTTCTCTGTGACTGTAATCTGACATCTGATGACGTAGCGGTTGGTGCTCACCACAGGGAAGGCAGATCTCAGGCCTTTACGCAGAATACTGTCATTGAACAGCACCAGGAGGTTGGAGGCGGAGTACACTTAAAGAGACACAAACAGGGAGTTTATCAGCCGATATATTGATTATGTACCATTCACTGTGTGTCACTGTGATCATGTAATAGAATATTTTACTATCATGTTGTGTAAATAACACAATATATAAACTGTACATTCATAAATGACTGCAGTCATTATTAATTAATCTATTATTTCTCTCATTAATCATTTAATCTAGTGTCCAGACACCATAATGAATATAATATACTATATTAATGCTGGGCGATATAACGGATGAACCACTACGTGTTCATTTCCTGTTTTTACTACATTTACACAATAAAACTGGTTTAAATTCTGATGGCATTCAGATGTTTTAGTATTGTTCGTGCTGCCAAAGAAAAGAAATAAACACTGTGACAAACAATGAAAGTGACAGAGTCTTTCTGGTCACACTGCTCAGCACTATATATGACTATAGTAAAATAAACAGCGCTCTCTGGTGGACAAACGTTACATTGATGAGACTATCCACTGAGGTTTATCGGTATTTACTGTATTTACAGATAATTTAAACGTCGAATGACCAAATGAAACCATGATGGAGATGAGTTTGCCTGTTTGAGAGCGTATATAGTAAAGCTAGTAGGGCTTAGACTCACGATCAGTGTGGGAATTATCACTTCTGCATCACAATTTTAAGTTTAATCGAAAGAAAACTATTAAAATTGTGACGTTTGAACGTGATAATCTACAATACTGATGTATATATACAGCTGCTGATCCAGATGTTGTGGTGTCACTTGTGGGGAGCTGTCTGTCTCTCTG